TCGTCACGTGGGATTTGTGGTGGACAAACTGGCGTTGGGGCAGGTTTTCGCCGAGTACTTCGGTTTCCCCTGCCAATCTTCATTCCACCAATTTCTCCACAATCACCCTCACCTATCATCTGGCGTTGGTACAATAGGCCAGAAGTGGCCGCAGTACAAGGGACTTAGTCCCGCCCCACTAGCAATAAAAAGAAATGCTTACCGATCTATATGAATAGTTAATTAATATTTATTAACATGGGGACGGAGCTAAATCTTAATATATGTGTGACAAGTTTGACATAAGTGAAGCCATATTAATGAACGCTATGCATAGAAAGAAATCGAAAAATTGCTCAATTTCTGCTGGTGGTGCCGCAAGTGGAAATGTTTCTGACTTGTGTTCGAGAGGTACATGCCTCGAAACTGGGTTGGGATACCGCTTATCGTGATTGAGTTTTCCATGGCTTTCTTCAGTCCCTCCAAGCAAAAGCCGGGATAATACATAAACTGGCCACTCACTTCCTTTCAGATCCTCTCCAATTATCCATGTACAGCCTCTCTCTTTGGAGGCTGTATAATTAGTCTGAGATTGTGACAGCTTTGTTAAATACGTCACCAGCAAATAAATAATCCCTGCTAGTCTGTATAGTAGCAGGAACGGTTTAGGGAAAAGCAGCATCATACTTTTTCCCTTCGTAACTAATTGATTTGTTTCAGCTTCCAAATCTAGATGGCTCTGGGCCTTACCATCACTGTCAGAGTGACTAAATGAAATTCCACTTTATAACATTCTCTGATAATGCTGTAGGAGGGGGCAGTGCGCGTCATTTGCAAGAAGCTGTTTTTGTTTACACGCATACTCATGATATGGACCTCGTGCAAGACAGTGTTGTTAAAACAGTGGAAGTCCTTCCTGTTGTATTCTTTAAATACCTACTTTCGCTACAAGAATAAGCTGAACGGAGACATATTTCAGTGGTCCTTAAATCTTTCAATGCTATGCACAGTATACCTCGGCTAGAAGCAATTGCTCTTCCTGTCCGAATTTGATATCTGAGATCAGTTAATAGAGCTAGTTATTTGCATCATTTCAAAAACAAAAATTATATTTTGCCATGAAAATATAGCAGCCTAAACAGAGAAAGGCTGTTTAAGTAAAAGCAGACCGTAAAACTTATGAAGTTCAGCTGTTTAGCAGTGCCTGCTGAATTGTCAGAATAAACAATGAAGTTTGTTCCCTAAATCTCCATTTGTAATCTCTCGTAAAGTAGAAGAAGGTACTGTGACCGTACCAATATCGATGTCGGGATTTTGACTGATTTAAACGTTTTCATTGTCCTGAATATGGTCTGTGTGTATGTATGCATATCTGAATATCTGTATTTATATAATGGACATGCCCCTTTCTAGCGCCTGAACTGCTTCATGGATTTTATTCGTATCAGATATTTAACAATTTATTCGTCATAGGTCATAGGCCGTTAAGGAAGTATAGAAGTGGATGATTGAACAGAGCACGTAGGTCAGATCTCAGACTCCAGATGATGGAATGTAGACCGTAGAGGACAGACGGGTCATTGTGGCAAATGAAGTGTTATAATTTTATTTCTCGGATATCACCGTCATAACCTGCCTACAGCTGTACTATTTAATAAGCCTTGTGACTCCACAAGTTGCGTTTACGTTGTTTGTGGGTTATTTTAACGACGCTGTCAGTGTATAAACTATATATAGCATCGATAGTTGAGGTGACTTACGAATTATAAATCGGAGCGGTGTCTTCGAGATACTCCTTTGGAATTTGCCTGGACGGACGGGGGAAAGCACAAAATAAATTAGGATAAGCAGAGTCGCAGCGGAGATTTTTGCAGAGTATTTCCGGAATGCAGCCTAGAGCGTTACTTCTAGATTAACTCGTCGGTTTGAAGGTTTCAATAACAGATATCCCACCATTCTTTTATTTGAGATTTATTTTCAGTCCGGAATACCTGGGAGTATTCAGTATGACGTATGTTACAAGTAAGATCTAAAAGTTCGTGACGTTGGTATAATAATACTATGGTCAGATATCCATGTCATAATTTTTATTCGAGAGGACGTTCTGGAGACCAGACTTGCCTCCATTCTCGGGTATTATTATTATTTTAGAAGTGGTGGGTTTCCCCATGCACTGTGACTAGTTATTAATCTATTGTGCGTCCCCCTTTAATATTCTACCAGTCGCTATGCCCTTCCAGTACTGGTGCTCGCTATCAGCCCCATTCTGCGAGCGAGGTGGGCCACCTCTCTGGCAGTGGTCCCCGATACTTGCCCATCTACCGGAGGAATTGGAAACTACTTGGGCAAGAAACTTTGCCTAATTTTGCTCAGAGGTCTCCTAGAGACATGAGGATCTTTTACGTGCAGTAAATCTACGACACGGGACACACCGCTTAAAGTCCCTCCCGGAGGACTTGTTCCCTGAATTTTTCCGCCCTTAAAAATTCCACGACCTCCGCCGGGTTTGAGTCATGAGGTGGGAACGTTACCCCTAGACTATGGAGGCCGCTCCATTCTCAGGTAAATAAACTACTCTGTTTGTCAAATCGATAGAAATAATCCCTATATTCCAGATAGCTCTATCGATTGGACCCAAGAACATGTTCTGGACCTGAGGACTAAGGTAGGCCGCACACCGGCATTCGTCAAGACATGTAACAGTCAAGACACGATTTTTGCGACATGACGCAAAGAAAGGAGCACAGTTTAAACGAATGAGATTATGAAAACCGCTGCACACCGGTCTGAGCCATGATGCTGACGAATCACGAATGAAGCAAGACTGCGTCTTTTGTCTCATGTCTTGATGCTTGTCTTGACGCAGTTGGTGTGCGGCCGCCCTAAGACGGAACACAGTCAGTGAAAGGTCGTCTAGAAACTAGGATGCTGGATAATGCCCACAAATTCTATCACTGTAATATGTTAATAGTGAAAGGTTTTTTCTCTCCGAATAGGTTGGTATAGTGGCAACACTGTATTTAGGAGGTGTTCGGTTCGAATCTCGGCCGAGACACTGTCTATGCTGAACGAAATATTTTGTGGTTTCCCTCAATCCCTCCAGGAAAATTCCTAGATAGTACCTCGATTAGGCCACGACCGCTTCCTTCCATTTTTTTCCCAATTCATCATTCACTGATCTTATCATCGCTTCTTTAAATAACAAATTAAAAAAAATAAAATTGAGTGAAATTACATCCCACATGCTTTGTCATATACTGTTGACCTTGATTACGTTACCTGGGAAATGACCCTTGCTGGTTACGGAATACCGAACCTTAATGAAATCCGACCGATCGGAAAAGCCAGTTTCCACAAAATCGATATTTCGCCTTTGGGCTGCTGTTGTGCGTATCACAGTTTTCTGCAGTTGCTATCTATTAAGGAGCAGGGATAGCTCTGTCATTATAGCGACGGGCTGGACGACCGGGGTTCGATGTTCTGGGGGGGGGCAAGAGATTTTTTCCTTCTCCACAGCTTCAAGATCGCCTCTTGGTCCCACCAAATCCAATGGTACCAGGGGCTCTTTCGTCGGAGGTAAAGCGACCGGAGCGTAAATCTGAGCACCTCCATCTAGTATTGGGTCAAGAAATTTGTAGCTATATCTCCACTTCCTCACGCGACTTAATGGCGTGGTGCCTAATTAATGAAACAAAAGGACAGCTTTACCTTTACCTTACCATTTAGTCTTATATAAAGGAAATGATTTCCATAAATTAATGAAATTTAATGAAAATCGCAGAGCCGTTTTCAAGAAATTTGCCATTTTTGAGGTCGAAAAATGGGTAAATCCTCCAGAATCTCAAGACCGGGTTTCATTCACCTTCACAATACTTCCTCGTACTACGCATGTGAGAAAGCAGAAAATATTCAATATTATCCTCCCCTCCACACCTAAATGTTCCTAGCAGTCTTTTCCTTCAGGTTTTCTACTAAATCCTGTATGCACTCCTCTCCCACGCATGCTGCATGTCTACCCATTTTATCTTCGTCTTGATCATTATAATTTTATTGAGTGAAGAATACAAGTTATGAATCTCCACATTGTGTACTTTTCTCTACTCTCCTGTTATTTCATACGTATTCTGTCCAGATTTTCTCCTCAGCAACCTGTCCTCAAATGCCTTCAGTCTGTGTTCTTCCCTCAATGCCAGAGATCAGGGTTCACATCAATTCAAGACTAAAGGCCAAATTATAGTTTTCTATATTTCGATTTTTACATTTTAACGCATTAGACTACAAGACTAAAGGTTTTGAACTGAATGGTAGCAAGCGTTGTCTGAATTTCATCAGATCTTAATCAGAAATAACCATAATACTGTAAAATGAGAGGGTGTCACCCACGGCAGAGACCAGTGTTTGTTGCTCACCCAACTAACGTATCCGCAAAAAGCGTGACATCGGCTGTTGTTACAATATACAGCGTAATGATTCCAAACCGACCTTCCCTAATCAATAAGGATTACTAGAGAAATGTTATGAATGGTTTGTGTTATAATTTCAGGCAAATTTACAAACTGAAACAGTAGTACTGTGGGTTCTGTTGTATTTTGTAACACTAGTTTCCACACCTTTCTGAATGCAAGTTCTTTATGAAGAACCCCATAAAGATATATGTGCTTCTGAAGCCGAGTGGCTGCTCCAACACTTCTATGTATGCAATTGTTTGCCCATTTCAAAAGGCTGCTTGAAACGTTTGTGTTGGCAACTGCAGGGTCGATTTCATAGCTTATTAAGTATTCAATATTGACTTTATAAAAGCAAATATCCACAGAGTGACTATGGACGAGTGGTTTTAGAGCAGTTCTGTTGATAGCGTGCTCTGCAACGGGTCATCGAGTAAAGAGCAAGATAAGACAAAGAGACTGCGATGAAGCACCCGTGGCTCTGCTCACATTGCACAGCTGAGCACATGCAAGTGATTGCACTTAACTAATAAACTCTACTTGACTGACAGCCTCCCCCTCTCTTGTGTGTTTCAGACGGAGCCGTACCATGTTGTAGTCGCGTCTCAGGTGAGTGACGTCATTTTGTTTGTCTTATATTTAGGGACCGGATTTTTATGCCCTTATAATCCCTTAAATATGTATGCATTTATGCATGAAAAACTTCCGAAATATGCACTAAAATATGCACATACAATTTATACCAAATATTAAATTGATTTTACATTATTTTAAGACCAACAAATCAATATTTCAGTTCATTTTATGTAATCACTGAATGGTTCATTTGCAATAAATAGCTATACTTAAATACAAATCATGCAACAAAGCCAACATATTTCATTACAAATTTAAAACACCATTGGTACTCACGTTTAGCTATCCGAACTTTCAAATTCTCTTCTGTTGCAGTTCACAATTACTAAATGTTCTAGGTCTTCCATAGTTAGTCGCCTCCTATTGTCTCGTAAGATGTCCTTATAGCGGGAAAAACTTCTTTCCACCTCACAGGAACTTAGGGGCGCATGTACAAAAGCCGCTATTTGTCCACAGTTAGTGATATTTTACTTGGCAGTTCAGTACGTTTGCCGGATAAAATTTCTTCAATTTCACAAAATTTGTTCATATCCTGGATTTTTTTAAGAAAGCTGTGTACTTTTTCCTTTACTACTTCACCTACTCTTCCAGGAACCGAATTCAATTTGGAAACAGTGGTTTTGAACACACTTAAAGACTGATACACTGTAGTATTGCTATTGATTGCCTCCAGTGAGGAAATGGCAGATGGAAGGTGTGAGAAGTGAGCAGCTATATCGTATAGGAAAGTTTAATTTCTAGTTCTGCGCTTTTTAGTACATCTTGGGCAATTTGAATTGATGCTGCACTTTTGGGNTCTTTTCTGTATGGCGCTTTAACAAATACCTTCTTCACAGAAGACACCAACTTGTCAACAAGCGGAAAATTTGCACGAATTGTTTCTGCAACACGGTGCAGACCATGGGCAAGGCAAGTCAAATTTGTCATATTTGGATATATAACAAAGTAGATAACTTTCAGTTCAGTATGACATACAGGTTTACAACACTTCAGTCTTTATTCGCCTTACATGTTTCGATTCAAAAGAATCATCTTCAGAGGCGCACCACTACGAGCAGGAAACACTGTCACATAAGATGTTTTAACATTATGCACTTAGGTTATGAATAGTGCTCACTATATCACAATTTGCCCTATGCAGCCACGTTGACGTGTAGATTTACGTATGATGTTTCATTTAAGCGTATTTGCTGGATATTTGATTGGGGTTTCCCACTGCAGGCAATGTGATGTTCACATTTCCATAAAATAGCTTTCATATGTATTTAAAATTGTATTAAAAATCTTTTGTATGTAAAAAATTAGTTATTATGTTAAAAATCGTGAACCAGCATTGGGTCATGTTGTTTTTTTCTTCGGATGGTAGAAGATGTCGATTATTTCTCTTGGTTGTATGTTCTGTAAATATATTATTATATAAATTGTTATTTATTCTATCTTATATATAGTGCTTATAAGGTTAGTAAGTGTCTAGTTAGGCCTTACCTTATTGTTAGTTGTGTAGTTTACGTGCGTGCTGTGTCGTATGTACTGTTTTGGAGAGTGCTGTGTCGCGTAATATATTCTTCCTGTGTTTATGACGTTGAAGAAGGTGTGTTCAAGTGATGTATAATAAGGTCAAACATGTTGTTTTGATTGTTTGTTTCCCTTATTTGTTTCTGTTCATCTATCAATTTATTGTGTTTGTTGTGGTAATATATTTGGAATTCCTCTTTTATGTTCATTATATTGCCCTTATTAGCTTTTTCGATGATTTCCATGACAGTTGAGATTGGTCCGTATTTATGACGATTGTTTAGAATATGTTGGACGTAAGCGGAATCATCTCTATTTAATCTTATGCTTCTTATGTGTTGATAATTTCCTTCCTGTTTGACCTATGCATACTTGATGACAACTTTGGCAAGTTAATTTGTATATACCACTTTGCTCGTATGGGTTTGTGTTGTGTCTTTCGTGTAATGTTCTGCCTATTGTGAGGTTTTTTTAAATGCTATCTTTATATTAGTGTTTTTAAATAGTTTTGTAATTTTCCATATGTAGTTTCCTGTGTATGTGTAGGTTACCCATTTTTGGTCTTGTATACCTTTGTCATTAGGATTACTTTTTTTTTGTTTTAATCTATTATATATATTTGTGTTATATCATCTTTTTTATATCCGTTGTTTAGTGCGATATTAATAATAATGTTTAACTCTTTATTTTTAGTCGTTTCTTCAAGTGGTAATATGAGTAGCCTATGCTGCTAGTTTTTGTTCTCTAGGATGGCAAGATTTATTATTTATTGTTACGTCTGTTGCTGTGGGGTTTCTATATATTTCCATCTTTATTTGTCCCTGTTTGTTGGTTAGATTATAACTTAATAACCTTATAAGCACTATTTATAACTTATAAGATAGAATAAATAAAATTTATATAATAATATATTTACAGAACATACAACCAAGAGATATAATCGACATCTTCTACCATCCGAAGAAAAAACAACATGACCCAATGCTGGTTCACGATTTTTAATATAATAACTAATTTTTTACATACAAAAGATTTTCAATACAATTTTAAATACATTGGAAAGCTATTTTATGGAAAAGTGAACATCACATTGCGTGCAGTGGGAAACCCCAATCGAATACCCAGCACATACGCTTAAACGAAACATCATACGTAAATCTACACGTCAACGTGGCTGCATAGGGCAAACTGTGATATAGTGAGCACTATTCATAACCTAAGTGCATAATGTTAAAACATCTTATGTGACAGTGTTTCCTGCTCGTAGTGGTGCGCCTCTGAAGATGATTCTTTTGAATCGAAACATGTAAGGCGAATAAAGACTGAAGTGTTGTAAATCTGTATGTCATACTGGACTGAAAGTTATCTACTTTGTAATTAATAGTATGACGGACCAGAATGAGACAAATCAAATTTGGATATATAACTTTAAGCGCAGTACCGGCTTTCATCATATAACTTGCGGCATCAGTCACAAAGAACAATATGCGCTCATACTGAATGCCATTCGGCCATAGTAAATTCATGGAATTGATAAAAAATTCGGCAACTGCGGAGCTATTTGTGGTTTCAAATTGCTCTACCACAAGAAGATATGGGGTAGATTGTTCATGCTTATTAAGGGATCCAACTATAGAATTTGAAATAAACCGTCCATCACAATCTTGTGTTTCGTCGATTGATACCCACACAAAATAATCTTGAAACTTATCTCTAATGATTTCAATTGTAAGATTGTAACACTGCTTGACGTAATTTTTGCGCACGGTAGATTCATCCGGCACTTTGCACTGTGTATACTTCTCTATGAAGTTTCTCAGAGTAGGACTGGTTAGTTTCCACAGCGGAATATCTGCCGCTAAAAAGGCTTCGCATAAATCAGAGGAAAACTGTGAAAAACTATTATTAGAAAATTCACTAAGCAGTTTTTGAACAGGAGCACTTTTCGTGGATTTCATTTTAATATTCTCTTTGTGTATATTAGTGTTCAAATGCTGAAGCATTTGAAAGCGCTTTTCCCAACTGTCTTCTCACACGCTCGGCAATAAAGAATGTTGTTATCCGTACTTATCATCTCTCCTTCGAACCCCCGCTGATACAGCTGTAATTTAGTTTTCTGACTTACTTTCACTTTCGGCATGACTACAGAAAGCTAAACAAACTTAACTACATACCAGTCACCACTAATGTGAATGGCCCCCGGCTTCAAATGAAGAAGCGTAACGAACCTCATGGAGACTTCGGAAATAAATAAGTGAAGTCCCTTGTCGGTTGAATAGTATTACGTTGATAGCGGCTACATGTGAACGCTTCCGACTAATCTCTTCGGGGCCACTTTGATGGTACGCGGATGAGGCAAGTTACGAGTAGAGGGATCGGGGAAGTCCCATCCTGGGTGTTGCATCAGAAACATGAATCATGACGAAATGTTGAGTCAAATATGCAACATATTCTAATACGGAAAAGAAAAATTGTATACCCATGACCATAACTGAAAACATAAAATTAAAATATATTAAAACATTTTAAAAGGGAAATGTGCAGTATAAACAGAGATCTTCGAAAATATGATGGTTGTTCATAAAACAGGCAAAATATGCATTTATATGCCCCATCAAATCATGTCCAAAATTTAAGAAATGAAGTAATTCATACATATATCTAAACGAGCATACTTTCTGGTTGCAAGAAAGAAATATGCATTTGCATTAAAATCCGGTCCCTACTAGCACACTGTGAGTCTTCTGTCAACCGCTTGTTGCTGTTTTAGCGGACCATGTCCATGACGCGGAGCCTCATGACGTTCGACAACAACAATGAGAAGAAACAGCCTCAGGTACAGGCCAGCAAACCCGTGCCTCAGCAGCCACAACCAAACACGAAGACATCGTGTTTTCGGGCGCACTTCAACAGCCTGTGGTCGGTATGGTACGGACTCTGCACTGCCGGTCTGCAGGCGTACATCGCAGAGCAGAGTGCTCGGCGCTTCTTGGGCTACGCAGCTCTACCATGGCCCGGGTCGAGCCTGCCCCCTCACCTGGAGCTCCACGCGTACTTGGTACTGAACGGAATCGCCGTACTACTTATACCATTCTTCCTCGCAGCGGCTCTGTTCAAGATTGGCAACCTCGCCAACGATGGGTTCAAGTTGGGGCGACACCTCAGCACTTGCGGTGCAGATCCTGCTAGTAGTGTGGTGCTGGGCCGCGCGGGCGTGCTGCGGTCGCTGTGGCAACATGGCGGCCCTACCGCCCCCTTCTTGCATCTGGTGACATCATTTTGTCTCCTGCTTCCGAAACTTCTGGTGGAAGCGCGCCTCATCCAGACAGGCTTCCTGCACAAAGGTACAGTACCCTGCTGTACCATGTCCGCAGTAATTGCGAGTAGGCAACTGAGTCGAGCAGAATCCTTTTTCAGAACCTGATAGTCACTCAGCTAGTCAGGAAACAGTAAGATTCATTACTCTGCTCACAACAGTCTTGACACTGATCACATGAATTCGGTTCATCCCAGTCTCCACACCGTACTCTTACAAGCTCAAGTTTGAGAGTGCGTTGGATCTAAGGTTCTTCTGGTTTGCAATGTCGTGTAGGTCGGAGAGAGCCCAACGCGTAGAAGAAATACTTCACATCTTCAGATCGGAAGAGTAAGAAATTAGGAACCAGCAGAAGCAGGCGGAAAGCTGAGCAGAAAAGTAAAGCTATCGCTACAACAGGCCGTGGAGGCCCATAGGGTTGTGAGAGTTCGAGGATCCAAAATTTTCTAGAAAAGTGGCTCACAGATGGCGGTAAGGTTGTCAGCCTTACCCCCCAGCCGTCCTTTTCCCCCCAGGAAGAATTCTGGTACTCATTTCTGTTAAGAGGCTGAGTCGACGCCAGGGCCATAGTGCGGCTGGAAGGATTAGATAAACTGAGAAAAAAATCCACATTATTCGGACTCGAACCCGCGACCTTCCGGTTCGTAGCATAGCGCCTCAACCAAGTAAGCTACCGCGTACTCCTAAGCTGAGCAGTGCTCAGACTTATTCTGAGAATTAATCAGAGAAAAGTGGTAGGCCTATGTAACAGAAATGTTTTAGTCACAAGAATGTTCGAAAAGTAGTATGCATACGTCTTATTTAGTTTTTGGAATATACGTATGTGCCAAGAGGACGTTATCCTCTGTACTTTTGCGTAAATAAGCATCACACCATGAAGATGTATAGGGGAGTGAGGGAATAGCTCCACGCACATTTAAACCTCGACATTAGATATTGGTGATTGTTTAGTATCACACCCCGGACGTTTTATCCCCGGGTAAAGAGCCCTCAGTGCTCATTTGACAGGACGCTGTATCGGCTGCAGAGCCTGTCTGGACGTTGTGGGAGAGAGAAAATCACTAGCTACAGCAGGGAACCGCGGTCCATTTCGCAGCCTAGTTGCTGTACGAGATTGTATCAATGAAACGTCGTGCCACGGAACTGAAATTTCGGAAGTGTCGTGTATTGAAGACTTCTGAATTACCAGTATGACCTGCTCTTTCTTTGAGAAGTTAATTTTTCTGTTAAAAGTTTCATGATTTTGTTTTGTGTATTTTTCGCAGTTGCTTCCGAAACTTAGCAGTAGCTTTCGCCATGTTAGCAATACTGGTTTCTTCGTAGTTTTTTTACTAAACAGTTGCGTCACACAACTAATTATTTATCTTTCTCTCTATGAATAATGGCACCACGATTTGTTACCCCCATCATAATTATGACAGTGTCTGGAACATGCCAGTTTTTTGTTACTAGTGGGATGGGGCTAAGTCCCTTGTACTGCGGCCACTTCTGGCCTATTGTACCAGCCCCAGATGATAGGTGAGGGTGATTGTGGAGCCCCTTTGTTCACCACAAATCCAACTTGACCAGACCCCGGGATCGAACCCGGGCCGCCGCGGTGGGAAGCCAGCGACTAACCGCTTGAGCTATGAAGCGGCCCTAAACTAAACATCCATGCCCTGAGTGGGATTCGAACCCACGATCACGTCTTCCGAGCGAGCGAAGACAGTGCGTGCCTTAGACCGCTTGGCTACCGTGACCGGCAACCTGCCAGTTAATCCACAGAGAAGTGAGTTCGCGCCGCACTGCTGGCGGCTGTACCCAGTGAGAAAATACTCATAAAAATGTAGTATTTAATGACAGTAGAAGAAACAAAGTTTTAATTAAAACGATAACTTACTGTGTAGAGTATTTAGCTATTAACGCCATATTTTGAAACGTAATAGAGAAGAACGTAATCACAACATGAAAAGCCAGAATATGCTGCTGCATACTGTATACGAAACTGCTTCAAGAAGAGACCAATATTTTTTAGTTCGGAAAAGAGCATTCTGTCTTTCCCACTACAGATAAAGGTGCAGGAACATGATCAATTCTCGCATACAGTAAGGGTGCTTAGTTTTCTCTGCCTTTACTTCGAGACCGTTCTTTTAAATATAATTTAGCAGAAACTCTGTATTTTTCTCTATGATATTTATGTTTTTGTCCAGTGTTTTAACATCAGCAGCCCAGGCCATAAGTTGGTGTGTCCCATTCCTTTCCAGTCCCTCCTGGTTTTCAGAGACCCTATTAAGGCATATTCTAGGCCGCGCCATAGCTCAAGCGGTTAGTCGATGGCTTCCCGATCCCGGGTCTGGTCAAGTGGGATTTGTGGTGGACAAAGTGGCACTGGGGCAGGTTTTCTCCGAGTACTTCGGTTTCCCCTGCCAATCTTCATTCCACCATTTGCTCCACAATCACCTCACTTATCATCTGGGGCTGGTATAATAGGCCAGAAGTGGCCGCAGTACAAGGGACTTAGTCCCACCCCACTAGCAAAAAAAAAAAAAAAGGGCATATTCTACATATGTTCGCATACATGGCTTCCTTGTAGTTTTAGTATGAACACATCTTGCTTAGCACACCGGATTGTGTGACTATTGTAGAACACTTCCCTGCTAACTGAGGCAGGTTTTCTTTATCTCCATGCTGATGTAGTTAATAACAATGATATGCCATGACGATGACTATAGACAGTTGTATCGCCGTTTTTATAAATAGGACGCATAACTGTGGCCATGGTTGCATTAGTGAACGAAAACGATTGGGTGAGATTATCTTGGTTGGAATTAATGAAAGTACTTGCCTGTCTAGGCTCTTCTCCTGCAAACTGGAATTAATGAAAGTACTTGCCTGTCTAGGCTCTTCTCCTGCAAACTGGAATTAATGAAAGTACTTGCCTGCCAACCTCTTCTCCCGTAAGTCACACCTGACATATTGAATAGATCCCAGACCGTAACAGCACAAGAGCTTTTAATGGAATCCTTTGAAGTAACCAGAATAGTTTGATCATCTGCGAACAACCATAAATTATTTTGCAATTTTTAATTACTGTATTCAAGGACACCCCTGCCTTATGTCTTCATTAATTTGAATTTTGTTTTTCTTATTTGTTTTCCATTATCAGTTAAGTATTTGTTTCGACATACATTTCGGATTGCTGTTTTTAGTTCAAGCTGATGTCGGAAGTCTTTAAATCCAAGAATATACCGTGCTTCAGGTTCTCTTTGCTTTAACAAAAGTTGTTACATAATCTTTGACGTTTATATATGTAGGAATATCAAACTCTGTTCCTTCTTCAGCTAACTGAGTCATTGTGAAGATGAGGCCGGCTTTTGATCAACCATTTCGAAAATAGTCTTACTCTGTTGCAGATTCGATTTACTAGCATTCTTGCATGTACTTTACAACAACAGCTCAACAAACTTATTCCTCTATCATTAGAACATTAATTTATGTTGCCTCATTTGAATATTCGAGGTGTCAGTGCCGCTTTCCATTCATCGGACAAAATACCGCCCTAAACAGCTCGTCTCATGCACTGCCTTCGCTCGCTCGGAAGCCGGGATCGTGGGTTCGAATCCCACTCAAGGCATGGATGTTTGTGTGCGTTTTTCTGTGTTTGTCTACAGGTAGAGGCCTTGCGACGAGCTGATCACTCGCCCAAGGAGTCCTACCGTATATGTAAGATCTAGAAAAACCGAAGTGAACGGAGTTCATGGAGGTAGGCCTAGGCCCACCGGGGCTGTAGTGCCAAGGGGAAAAAAAAACAGCTCGTCTAATTAAAACTCGTAATTTATGTAAAATTTTACCGTGAATATTCATGGCCAAATTCCGGTGAATAAAATTTTGTTGTCTGAACTTATATACCCCACTGGGAACAGTGACTGACTACGGGTTGGAAGATCGCGTTTCAATTTTTAGCAGGGGTAAAGCTTGCTCTGTTCTTCAGAACAATTTTTAGGTCGGCTGCAGAGCCCATCAATCCAGCGAGTATTGTAGTCTCCTTCCACGGGATCAAAGCTGTTGCAGAGTAAATCAGCCCTTCCCTCCCTCTAATGCTTGTAGATTTGCCCCTACACCCGCTATACTCCTTCCTAGTAACTTTCCAGTTTACTGAGGCTTATTCTCAATGTAGACTACGAATATCGACACAGTGTTGTATACTTCTACGAAACGCGCCAACCTTTCAGGTGTCCGAAAAGCCTTGCTCTTTACAATATGCATTTCAGCACCGCTGCCGAATAGTTTCCAACCCCAATCCAGTATCCCCCTCATGTTTGGGTAGGGGTGGGAATGTGATAAGGGGATGAAATATGCAAGACTTGTGATACTAAAGGAGGAGGGGCGGAACTACACTCAACAGAAAACAGGAGAGAAATGTTTGTTCGGACTCTTTAAGATAGATTTTGGGCAAATCCTCGCCAGAATCCGCAATGTTCAATACAATTTTACAGTTTGTTTAAGTATTATATTCATGAAATTCGATTTAAGATTCGACTTCAATTATTTTAAAGATGAAGATAAATGATAAAGAATTTTCTGTGTAGCCGACGTTCCTTCAGAAGTATAACAGAATGTGCGGCTCAGTGGTTCACGTCCAGTGTGACCCATAATTGTCTTGTCAGCTACTTGTCTCATTTCTGCGCGAGTTCATGTACTGGCTGATTATCATCTATCTGCTCTGCAAGACAGAATTAACCGTGGAAAAATTTGCCGCACATTCCGTGGGACATGGAATAAATATATTTATTTAGTTCCTCCTCACTTATATTGATTGGGCCCTCAAGCCTGTTCCCATTCTGAGTTTACTTCTGAAACTGTGACTCTTGAAAAAAATTAATAGGATTCGTTCAACTGAGGATCGACCCACCGCAAGTCAATACAACACAGAAGAAATGCAGAATTAACCCATTTTCATTTATTCGTGTGGTGGAGTGAGACATTAGTCACTCGAAGGCCTGTTGTACCAGCCGTGGGTGATACATAATGGTGTTTGTGGAGCAGTCGGTGGGATGAAGATTGGCAGAGGAAACCGAAGTTCTTGGAGAAAACTTAACTCACTGCTGCATAATCCCACATGACCTGACTTGAGATTGAACCTTGGCCGCTGCAGTGAGAAGTCAGCAGATAACCGTTTGAGCTATGGCACGGGTAATGCTCCGAAAGGGATTTGAACCTACTATCCCAGTTTTCGAGCTGTTGAAGACAGTACGCACAGCCGCTGTAGTCGGCATTTATTAGGTCTTTGCTTGTAGATTCACGTATAATTCGACTATATATATCGATGCTGAATCTTCAGAAGTTGTCCAGCCACTTTTAGAATTGAAGTGCTGTCAGGTGAGCTATATCTTTTAGAATGAGTGGTATCCGCCATAGCTCAAGCGGTTAGTCGCTTTCTTCCTACCATGGCGGCCCGGGTTCAATCCCGGGGTTTGATGAAGTGGGATTTGTGGTGGACAAAGTGGCGCTGGGGCAGGTTTTATCCGAGTACTTCGGTTTCCCCTGCCAGTCTTAATTCCACCAAATTCTCCATCATAATAATCCGGGGCAGGCTACAACAGGCCAATCAGTGGCCACCGTGCCGAGTGGACCCAGTTGGACTCCACCCCCCACTAAGCGAATCCTCAGGCTTTAGACAGAGCCGTCTCTGTGCCACACTTCTTGACGTCATCATACCCCCAGAACCGGACATACGATGACGGAATTGTAGACCTATTTTTCTGCCCCCTCCCTCAAAATAGTTTTGAACGAAGTGAGTGAATTTTATGAACCTTGGTAATAATATTTTGATAGTGGGCCTTGCATCTTCAGACTTTAAACCGTTCCCTGCACAACACCAACTTGAGAGTTATGCGAAAGTCTAAGGCTGGAGCGTCTCTAGGACGTTTAATGCAATGTCCTAAAGTACTGTGCGGTGGTAGGTATTCAGTGCTCAGTGCCTCTTACGCTTTACTTTTCTTTGAAGTAAAACAATGACATACCAGCAACGCGAAGTCCATAGGAGGCTTGGCGTTTTGAGTTCGATTATAGCGCACAATTGGGGCTACGCATGTGAAATTTCATGTGGAGATAAGCGATAAACATACATAAAAATTCTTTTGAAAGATTAGTTTTGAAGTCATATTTATCAAATTTGTTCTAGTGAAAACAATGGAATTTCTGCTCCTCCAGTTTGAGAGGCTAACAGTCTCTCACAATGAAAGGATTCACACGTTACGAAATGTTTCACATAATTTCGGATTTGGGGGGATTCTTCGGAACTACCTAGGCAGCGGAAATTGACATAAGATTTGGAACTTGAAATGTCAGGGGCTTCCTTTAGGTCGTGTTTATTAAAAGCTATATCTAGATAATAATTGCACAATTTTAGTCGGAAACCCTAAAGCGAAGAGACCTCTTGGGGTACCGAGCCGTAGATGAAAGTGTAATGTTAAAATGTATAGCTGAACACTCGACTCCTTGGTCAGTCACGCGTTGTACACAAATTTATTACCGAATAGACCTTCCGGTGAGATGGCCTCTCTCTTATGACCAGGAAGCGGATTTTGATGACCTAAAATATTTAAAAAATTACAGAAAAATTACCTATAAAATGACCTAAAAGTTAAAAAACAAAATGTATCATGTCATGGATATGTTGTAAAGTAATGCAATTATGATTGTCGTTATATCCGTCAACACATTAAATTACTTATATAGCTATAGAATCTGCCGCCCTACCCACTAGCAGAATGGTCTAAAACAAGGAGATGCTTTATCGCCACTCCTTTTCAACTTTGCCTTAGAATATGCAATTAGGAAGGTCCAGGGAAACCAGGTGGGACTGAAATTAAACGGGACACATCAGCTCTTGGTCTACGCCGATGATGTGAATCTACTGGGTGATAATGTAAGATACCATAAAGAAAAACACACAAACTTTAATTAACGCAAGTAAAGAGGTTGGTCTAGAAGTAAACACAGAGAAAACTAAGTATATATTACTGTCTCGTCACCAAAATGCAGGGAAAAATCATGACATAAAGATAGGAAACAGATGTTCTGAAAATGTGGCACAGTTCAGATATTTGGGAACAACGATAACAGATCGAAACCTGATTCAGGATGAAATTAAGAGGCGATTGAACTCAAGTAATGCTTGCTACCATTCAGTCCAGAACCTTCTGTCTTCTCGTCTGTTGTCCAAAAACATACAAATTAGAATATACAAAACTATAATTTTGCCTGTGGTTCTTTATGGCTATGAAACTTGGTCTCTGACATTAAGGGAGGAACATAGACTCAGGGTGTTTGAGAACAGGGTGTTGAGGAGAATATTTGGACCAAAGAGAGATGGAGTGACAGGAGGTTGAAGAAAACTGCATAATGAGGAGCTTCATAACTTGTACTCTTCTCCAAGTATAATTAGAATAATCAAGTCAAGGAGGATGAGATGGGCAGGTCATGTAGCACGAATGGTGGAGGCGAGAAATGCTTGTAGGATATTGGTGGAGAGACCACAGGGAAGACCAAGGCATAGGTGGGTGGACAATATTAAAACGGATCTTAGAGAGATAGGATGGGATGATATGGATTGGATAGATCTTGCTCAGAAAAGGGACCAGTGGAGGGCTCTTGTGAACACGGTAATGAACCTTCGGGTTCCATAGAATGCTGGGAAATTCTTGAGTAGCTGCAGAATTGGCAGCTCCTCCAGAAGGGCTCAGCTCCATGAGTAAGTGAGTAAGTGCGATTTCACACACATCATGGTGTCTATAAATGTAGGTCGCGGCCCTCTCTAAGGGAGTCGCCGAATTCTCAAGAATCATCGAAAATACGTCTGCATCCACACAACACTTTCGCACGTCAAAGGTTTAGTATAGGTAAGTAAGAAAAAGTAAAGTAAAGTTGTACCTGTGCAACTAATTAAGCACTACGCAATGAAGGCGTATGGGGTGGATGTATATGTATATCCTAGTTTTGCTGACCTTGACACTAGCTGTAGGTGAATGGTCAGCTGCATGTCCCTACCAATTTAATCCAGGGAAAGAGCTCCCTCCTTCATTGGATAGGAGTCTGGGTGGGCACCAGAGCCAGTCTTGACGACGTGGAGAAGAGGAAATTCTTGACCCTACCGGGATTCGAACTCTGACCCTTCGGTCGGACGGCCTTCCCGTAGCCAGTCGTTATACTGACTACGCTATCCCGTCTCTAGATACTATTGGAGAATGTACGTAGCTGCAGGCGGCAAAATATTTCACGAATACTTTCGTGACTGCAGAACATTTTATACGTGTACTTTAATGTAGGTGCAGAGGTTGTATAACTATTTACTATGAAATTTTCGCTGACCGCCAAAGAAAGTGAGGGGGTCACTTGAATTTATGTACGTGTATTGATGTAGGGGGTTGTGATATCACAAGTTTGAGATTTCATGGTGTACGAATTTTTACAAGAACATTAACTGCTGCTAATATAACACGATCTCTCTACATGTTATTTCAACAAAATGTGTGATAATTCGTAGCTTGTTGCGTAAACTTCCAGTGAAGCGTCATTTATGTCTTACACACACATAGTCTTCCCCTCAGAACCTGCCGTAGATTTTTTATCAGTATGAACGTTATATTTTCGACTGTGTGAGTCGCACGTCAAAATCCCACAACCGGAAATAAACAGGAAAGACCTGAGAAACGAGTAGAGATAGAGCTCTACTGCACAGTACTGTAACGCAACATAATCAAAGCATTCCATTACGCTATGTTCTAAGCAACCCTATAACACAGCGTTTGTTACGCATGTTCAAAATTTTGCTGCATGCATCGTACATAATTATTTCCTGTTAATGTTTTCTGTTAAATATACGTATATGTATATATATATACTTGTATGCAAAGTTATTCCATACAAGAAGAGTTCTAGATTCTTGGGTGTAACGCCGTGTAGTCCGTTGAAATTCAACTGATGTTTCGGAGGAACATATCGCCTCCATCTTCAGGGTCGAAGAATAGTCCAAGAAAACATAGCATTAACCAGTTAATTCATGTACATTCTTGTAACCCAGTGTTTGTTATATTCGTATATGGTTGATTTACATTCATAGGTCTGCTCACTGGTCGTGAAGTTCCTTTAACACATTGTTTCACTCACGTATTCACTCATGCAGTGATCCATACATTACGGTACCACACAGTGTTCATCAACAGCCTGTAATATGGAATTCTATATATTTCTGAATGCTGTGTTCCTGTAACAAGCATTAAGTACATATTGTAGCCATTGTTACACTAGTCAAGCAAGTCAACAGTTCTTCCACCGCAGTGCTGTTGCTATTATTATTATTATTATTATTTATTCATATTATGTATTTTGCAGCTGCAATCTGGCGAACAGATCTGGATTTCATGGTTGTGCACCGAGACCGGCTCGTTGTCTTGAGTTTTATGACGTCACCGAATCATACGAACTTCCTGCCCACACCGCTGCCGTTTCACACGTCGTCGTCAGCAGTGCCGTCATCGAACTTCATCAACGTCACTGAGAACGTAACAATGGTGCCATCTATCAGTACTGCAAAGAGCCAAGCCTTGCGCAGTATGCAGGTACGACGAAGGTTTTTTTGCATAGACTGCATTTGTGAATATACCGCAAGTTTAGTGCGTTTTAAAGGCCCAACAGACTCGCTTCTACGATTTTGATATCCTTTGATACACACTTTCTCATATTTTTAAACCGAAATTTGTGTATGTATTTCTTGTTCCTTGCGCGAACATCAAATTATATTCATGCCACCCAATTTACTTTCTCATATTACTTACTTCTGGAGCTGAGCCACTCTTGAGAAGAAACCACATCTGCATCTATCCAATAATTTCCCAGCATTTTATGGAACCCGAAGATTCATTCAAATGTTCTCAAGAGCCCTCCACTGGTCCCTATCCTGAGCCAGATCAATCCAATCCACACCATCCCATCCTATCTCTCTAAGATCCATTTAATATTGTCCACCCACCTACACCTTGGTCTTCCCCGTGGTCTCCTTCCTTGTGGCTTTAACACCAATATCCTATATGCATTCCTTGTCTCCCCCATGGCCTACCCACCTCATCCTCCTTGACTTGATCATTCTAATTATACTTGGAGAGGAGTGCAAGTTACAAAGCTCCTCATTATGCAGTTTTCTTCAACCTCCTGTTACATCATCACTCTTCAGTCCAAATATTCACCTCAACACCCTGTTCTCAAACACCCTCAATCTGTCTTACTCTCTTAATATCAGAGACCAAGTTTCACACCCACACAGAACCACAGGCAAAATTATAGTTTTGTGTATTCTAATTTTTATGTTTTTGGACAGCAGACGAGAAGACAAAAGGTTCTGGACTGAATGGTAGCAAGCATTACCCAAGTTCAATTGCCTTTTAATTTCCTCCTCAATCAGGTTTTGATTTGTTATTGTTGTTCCCAAATATCTGAACTGTGCCACATTTTCAAAACATCTGTTTCGTATCATTATGTGATGATTTTTCCCTGCATTTTGGTGATGAGACAGCAACATATACTTAGTTTTCTCTGGGTTTACTTCTAGACCACCCTCCTTACTAGCACCAATTAAGGTTTGTATATTTATCTTTATGATTTCTATATTATCACAAAAATAGACATACATCATCGGCATAGGCCAACAGGTGATTTTTCCCGTTTAACTTCAGCCCCACCTGGTTTTACTGGACCTTCCTAATTCTAAAGCAAAGTTGAAAAGGAGTGTGATAAACATTTTCTTGTCTTAGACCATTCTGGATACACAGACTTTACTATACGTTTCGTTTAAACACATTTTAATCAGCCTAACTAGTTTTGTGGGTATCCCAAACTCTATCATAATAATGTACAATACTGAATCATAGGCTTTCTTGAAGTCTATGAATAGCTGATGTACTGTCTCATCGTACTCCCATTTTTTCTCCAATATCTGACGAATGCAAAAGATCTGACCTGTAGTTGATCTGTTACGTCGAAACCCACACTGATGATCCCCAATAATTTCATCTATATATGGACTTAACCTTGAAAGAAGAATATTGGACGAAGTTTTATATGAAGTTGATAGCAGTGATATCCCCCGATAATTACTACAGTCAGTTTTGTCACCCTTCTTGTGCATTGGTACAATAATAGACTCCTTCCACTGATCAGGCAATTTTTCCTTATTCCAAATAGATGTAATTAGATTGTAGATCTTAGGATGTAATATTTCGCCTCCCGCTTGAATAAGTTTTGCCGGAATTTGATCACTACCTGGCGATTTATACCGTTTCAATTTTGCAATGGCACTTTCAACCTCAAAAGGGCTAGGATCAGGTAATAATGGCTCAGTTGTATACATTTATATCTGCCTAACATCACTGACCCTATGTACATACATTCTATAACAGAGAGACGTAGTTCTTCCACCCGTTCAAAATGTTGTGGGACTCTGCAAGCAGATCACCCTTCTCATCCTTCACTAAATTACTTCTAGGTTGGTAACCCCGCTTAGAGTCATTTATTCCTCTACACAGGTCTCTAATGTTCTAGTTCTTACTGTTCATTGCAAGCTCATCAATTTTGTCTTTCAGATATAGATATTCCCTCTTTTTGTTCCTGAAATGCCTGCTGGTTTCGGGTCTTATATTGTTCAGATTATCCTTATATATTTTGTTTGGATCCTGTAACCATTGCAATTTGGCTCGTTTTCTTTGGTCTAGTAATTTTAAGAATCCTTCATCTAGCCATGGCTTATGCTTCTTCAGTTCATAATAACCTAGATTTTTCTTGGCAGAAATTTTGATATTCTCCCTAATATTTTTCCAAGCTTTATTAACATCCACCACAGTGTTCCAAGTTTCCCAAAGCCGCGAACCTATTTGAGATTTCAACACAATACTGCTCTTTACCCTCTACCTCATTTAATTTCTTGAGATTGAACCTCTCCATATTAACTCTGTCTGTTGCTTGTTTGCTCACTGCCACTCTTTCCCTAACCTTTGCCACGACCAGGTAGTGGTCAGTATCACAATCTGCTGCCCTGAATGATCGGACATCAAGTATACTTGAGTGCCATCTCCTATCTATCAAAATATGGTCTATTTGATTGTGTATCTTCCCATCAGGAGATGTCTAAGTAAATTTATGGATGTTACGATGCAGGAATGTTGTACTTTTGACAGTAAGATTTTTTGACGTGGCAAAGTTTACAACTCTAACTCCATTATCATTACTAATTTCATGCAAACTCTCATTCCCAATTGTTGGTTTGAAAATGTCTTCCCTCCCTACTTTGGCATTGAAATCTCCTAACAAAATATTCATAGGGTACTTCGGGAATTTATCAAATACATTTTCTAGTTCTTCATAGAATCTGTCTTTTATGTCATCAATTTTATCTTCTGTTGGTGGATGAACATTCATAAAAATGATATCACACCAGTGACCTTTTAGTATTATATATGATATCCTATCAATGACAAACACTACCCTCATAACTGCTGATATTATTCTCATATGTGCGAAAAAACCTGTACCTAATTCATGATTTTCATTCCCCTTTCCATAGAAAAATGTATATTCACCTGCTGGTGCGTTGCCACCTCCATCCCATTTGACCTCATGTAATTCCACTAAATCCAACTTATATTTTAAGATTTCTTCTGCCACTGCCCTGAGCAAACCTGCCCTATACAAACTTCTGACATTCCAGATACCGAATCTCATGTCCATTTTCTTTAGCTTAAGTCGTTTATCTAGAAGATTCATCCAGGTCCGAGGCTTTGTGTGCATTTTTGTAACAAAGTTATTTTTTATGGTGAGGAGTTTTTAGCCCCATGCCTAACCCCCAAGCTGGAGGGCCACCCCTTGACAGTTGTCCCAACTGCTTATTCAATATATTCGCAGCTTCCTTCCTTACCTGGAGGGCGTCTCCTCCATTCGCAATCTGAGCTCACACTATGCTGTGGTGACAAGGGATCCACCTAATATGGTTTTACTTTCTCATATACAGTGTTTAAATGAGGATGTCTTGTGATAGTGAAAAACATCGATCTCCAGATTTTGGTGGCTATATACATTTTTAAGTCCCCTGGAATGGAAATAAACGTGGTTTTTGTAATGCTCTTTTTGTATGTGTATGTGTACATGGATGTGTGCCTCACTAGTGTCTGAATAGTTGGACAAAATTTATTTTTATTACATATTTTACCAGTCAAGTGATGTTTTTCCGTGTTCTTATCTCTCCCACAGTGGCACATAGAATTTCTCCAACATTTAAATTTGTTACTGCAGCGTTTAATTTTATAATTTTACTTTGTTTTCAAAATGCATTATTTCAGTCATGTGTTATAAGGTTACAGAACAAAAAGCTACTGAAAGACCAATTATCAGACCTTATGTATCTATATTTTCATTTCTATAGCCAGTGTCTTAAAGGTAGTATGTATTTTTTTGTAAAGTTCTGTACTTTTGGCTTTACTCTGAAAAATCTGCCACTTTCGCCACTGGCTTTCATTTCCTTCAGACTGCGTGTTTGCACATGTATGCTTGAGCCATTCAGATTAAATATATGGGTTCTTGACTGGCCCCCGGTGTTTAGAAGTGAAACCAAATCATAGCAGTCAACTGACAAACCTCTCTAGTGACACTGTGTATGCCTCATTGATAAACAGAGTTTCTTATTGGTGTGGGCTTGAAAATTGTACTTTCTTTGCGAGCTCAAGTCTAGTATGGATGAATGAACTGAACTGTTCTTCCAAACATCATTGCAAAATTGTTATCTTTTACACACTATGAAATCATCACTAAAACATTTATATCACTGGAAACATTGCTGCAACTCAAGTGGCAGATATCAGCCCAGCAATGTGTCCTAGATTTTGGTTTCAGATTAGGCATGTTTTCTAAAAATTTTGGGGTATACTGATTTCTTTCTCTGGCTATAATTTCCGACATATCTGGCATACAAAACAACTCAAAATATTCCAGGGGGTACTGGGGTCTTCAAAATCAATGTTAATGCCAGGCTTGCCCGGAAACAGAAAATGTGATTGTTCAGCACCTGAATTTGCCCATACATCAGGTTGCATGCTACTGTTGTTGCTGACATTTTCTGCTTCATCAGAGCTGACAGTTTGTTCTCATTTCCACATTAATTTCACTATCAGTACTATAGTCACTCTCTGAAATACTACTATATCCATTCTCTTTTAACAGTTCATAAAACACCTTTTCATCGCTTATGCACATCTTCTTGCTAGGACCTGCCATAATGTTTGGTCAAAAGAACTTGAATCCAGGACAGCTCTCAAGCAATCAACAACTTCCTGTCACTCTCCAAAATAGCTAGAACATCTTGCAAGCACAAGTTTCCATTGCTGACTGGCATTGCCCATATCTACAACTGAGTATTTAGAAACATGCGTGATGCCTATAGACATCATGGCCACTATGATACAAAGTACTGCATGATGTCTACAGATGTCATAACCACGTGACTAGTTAGGGGTTTATCTGTCATAGGTCAGTACCTGATGAATATGAACACTTGAGCTCCAAAATTAGGAGCCCTTCAAATGGACCTCAAAAAACAAAATGGAGACCATCTCCCTAAACAAAACTTCAGGAAAATAATGAAGCCCAAACACAAAATTTTGTTTCTTTTAACAGGCTCTACTTCTCAGATCAATTTCATTGCTGTTTGGTATTCAGGAATAAACAGTGGTCTACTGAGCAACAATTGGTTTTATTTCCAAGGTACTGTAGGCAAGGTCAGTTGTTTATGAGAAAGTATGTGCAGTGTCTTCGCACAGTTCTCTTTGTTTTTGTTCTATCAAGAGTACAAATTATGAAGAAGGACCATGTTCTCAAACTTCTCGTTCTATTTTTTCCTCCAGAGTGAGAGACCAAGTATCACACCCATGCAAAATAATAAATGCAGATCACATATGTATTCTTTACACAAGATGCAAAATCACCAGAACTGCCATATAGGGTCCAAAGAAATCTGGTGTTTTGTTCTGCACTGAAAATTATAGGGAAAATTTTTTGTTGTTCCATACATTTATTAGCTGTGTGTATTATCAGTAAATTAAATTAAGTCTACTATTTTATGCAGGAGCTGGTATCACCCAATCTGGAGGCAGAGGAGTGGGCTACCAGCATGGGACCTGTGTCTGCTGAGTTCCTTAACTATGCACTGGCTCTTCTCGTGTATGCAGTGCGCTACCCAGCTGTGTTCTGGAACACCAACAAAGCCTTTGCAGCACTGTTTTCACTGCAGCTGTTGGCCAATGGTATGCAGAGTTTGCTGGCTTTTGCAGGAGTCAGTGTACTTTACAAGGTACAGGTAGTGGGGGCAGCTGAATCTCTGCCCCTGCTCAGGACCACTCAGCCCTTTCTGCTGAATGCACATGTTACACTAGCTTTGTTTGTGCTGTCCAGTATACTGGTTCTGGCTTCAAGCCTTGTGCTATACTTGTATGGCTATGGACGCTTCAACTCATTCCTGCGCACTGAGCGAGAGCGGCGAGTAGTGGTGCTGGGCAGTGCAGGTGGTCCCAGTTGGGGATACTTTACACACTGTGCTGCCCTGTGTGTGCTGTTGGCACTTGCAGTGTGCAATGCACCACTTCTGTTTGATTACACCATGGTATACCGTGGGTCACTGGATGGTGCCATCCTTGCCACAGCTGTGGGTGCCATCCTTCATCTGTTCCTGTGGATTCTTCTGTGGCTCCTCCTTACCATCAAACAGCACTGGGTTTTCAAACTGCGTGTCACTGTGGGACGTGCCACTGTCCGCTCTGCACGATCTGTCAAGCTTGTGACAGATGTGGATCTGGTGTCAGCACATCATGATGCCTTGGAGGCCCCTCTGCTGGTAGTTGGAAATGGCAGAACTTACACTATCGCAGACATATCACCCAAGAAGGCCATCATGAGTGTAATCCAACGGGCAGCTCTGGAGCGCAAGACCAAGGGTAAGGGACAATTTATTAACAGTATATAGTGCTGAGCCACTGTCTATGATACCCACTTGTATAACAGTTCTTACTTGCAGGCACTGGCAACACATTGCTAGAGATCACAATACTAATCTGGTCTCTGCATTACTCACAAAATTGCTCTTGCATGCAAGTACAGCAAAGTGTACAGTGCTCAACCTCTCAAATAACTCCTCCTGGTTGCAGGCAATGGACCTGTCCCCACTCCTGATGATGGTGAGGAGCAGATCTATTGGTTACGGCACAAGCCACCCTCACCTAAAACATCCCCTGAGGTGACCTCAGACCGCCTGACCTGGCTGAACCGCAAGCTGAGTGGCAAACACAAGGTGACCTTCGATGACAATGCCTCAGTTAGGTGAGACATGCCACAGCACACCAGCTGTTGAAGATAACCTTCTGTTTGATATTTGAACCATCCACATGTATCTTTGTATTATATCAAAATTTTGTCACAAAATGTTTTGGTGACTAAATAAGAAGATTAAAATAAGTATATTTAAGTCATTATCTGTAACCTTAGACATGAACCTTTATTTTTATTGACTTTACTTTTAACTTAATTTTGATCTTTTCTTCTGCTATTATTTCCATTGAAATATGGATTGATAGTTAAATCCTCCAGTTACATCTGTCATCCCAGATATTTTCTTCTCTTATCTGATTCCAACCCTTTAGTATAATAAAGCCTCATTATGATGTAATCACAAGGTAATTGAATATTGAGTTGATTCAGGCTGCTTTCCATTTAACATGGCCTTTTTAGATATATATGCAGTATTGTGCAATATGTATCCCATGTACGGGTGGTTCCTGTCACAAGTCAGCAGCAACTCATGCTAAATATGTATGGTGTACTCTTACTGAGCAGTTCCTATTTTGTGTTCTTTTCTTTCCTTCCTTCCTTTACTTATTCCTGCCTGTATCAGTAATCCATCATAGTAGTCTGTACATATTTGGTTGCCATTGTGAACATTGTGAAAGGAATTTTCCTTTTCAGATAGTTGAAAGAATGAAAGTGATATGACAGTTTCTTTTTATTACAGGCAAATTTAAACTGTTTCAGAAATGCAGAAAAAACTACAGACAGAATCGAATAGTTATATCTTCTGGGATATAACTCTGTGTAGTATGTTGAAAGTCAACTAATGTTTCAGAGAAACATGTCGCCTCCATCTTCGTGGTCAAAGAATAAACCAATCAAGAAACCAGCATGAAAGCCACACTGCTTAGCTTATACTTCAACCATGAAGACTGGAGTGACGTATCTCTGAAATGTCAGTTGACTTTCAGTGGACTACACAGTGTTATATCGTAGGAGACAGAACTCTTCTTACCACCATTGTGAGAACCTCAAACCCTATACAGACAGAATCGTTTAATTTGAATATGCAATATTGTTTAAGTACTTTAAACACTGATGACAAATCAAAATCATGTTCATGGCAAAATTAGAACAGATTACATTCAGAAAATGTATGCCAGTATTCAGTTCAGAATCTTTCATCTTCCCACATCCCATCTAAAAATGTTCCATGAAAGATAACATAGTCTACTTTCTGTGCTCATGATCTAGAGAAATTAATAGGATTCATAAAACTGTGGCTTGTTCAACCCCTGGATAAGATTACCTTTTCCCTTTTCCATTCCTGTGTTTCTGGTTGAGTCTATGGTGAATGTTTATAGTTACTGCAAAAAAATGCATTCCCATAACTTTTGCAATTGGTGTGTATTAACATAAAGGTGTACAGCTGTTGGTGCCCATCACAACTTCATGTAGAATGAATTATTGGTTACAAAAACACCAATACCCGTTATTCTTGTGAGCCATCTTTACAGTGAAAGTAAAATACAAATATAATTGAGGGAACAATTATAATAAGAATATTACAACATAATATTGAAAATCAGCCTGGTGGCAGGCTTGAATTATCTTAACTTCTAAATGAGAATTTCAAGTAACAAACATAAACCAGATGTTAGCAGAGTGGCACATTTTCCAGTGAAGCACAACTCTACCCAAAAAAATCTGACCTCTCTGCCTTGGAGGGCAAACCAGAATGCCTCTCTTCAGGACTTCAAATTGGAAAATTTCTCCAGAACAGGGCCTCAGATGATCACATACTGGATTGTAGAGGAAGGAAGAGGATGGGAACAATGATGATCAGATCAGGAAGGGAGGGTGGGAAAATGTTTCATGCATCACTGCTAATTGACTACATATCAGCTCAGCTGTTACACAGTACAAAACTCAAGTTCAGTTAAAGACACATGTTACTCTGCCATGAAAATAAACTAGTAGTTGTATGAGTGGCTTGGTACAGAACACTACTAGTAATATTCTGCCAGTGCCTGAAATTGGAGTGGTCTTGTGCCTATTTCTTGCCTCAGATTTAGTGCTTACATTTACATTTACATTTATTTTCACTTCATGGATCCAATCATCTCCCCATAGGGTTGGATATAAAACATGTCACATATTACAAATTCATGATGACTACACATCATGTCCTTGGTCCAATAAAATACAGGGGATGGACAAAAATATGGAAACACCCAACAAAAAACACATTACCATGACTAATATGGTGTAGGACAACCTCTGGCTTGCAGAACTGCTTGCAGTCTCCTTGGAATGGATAAATAGAGGTCCTGTATGATTTGCAAGGGAATCTTGTACCATTCTTCTGTTATCGATGATGGAGGTGGATAGCGCACACGCAGATTGCTCTCCAAAACAGACCACAAAAGCTGAATAATATTGATATCTGGCGATTGTGGGGGCCATGGCAGACGTGACACTTCATCTTCGTTCTCAAAAACCAGTCCTGGACGATGTGAGCCATGTGAACACAGGAATTGTTGGCTTGGTAAATGGCATCACCATTAGGGAACAAAGTTTGCACCATGGGATGGACCTGGTCACCCAAAATGGTCACATAGTCATTGGCAGTGACGTGACCTTGCAGGGTAATGATGGTTCCAACAGAGTACCACGATATGGCTGCCCATACCACATTTGAACCCCCGCCATGTTTCACTCTTGGCAGCAAACAATCTGGATCGTAAGCTTGGGATGGCGTTCTCCAGACGTAAACTCGGCCAGAAGTCGGAAACAGTGTGAAGGTGGACTCATCTGACCAGATGACCATCTTCCATTGCTCCATAGTCCAGGTTTGATGACTTCGGCACCACACTGTCCTCTTAGTGGCATTTTGATCACTGATGAGTGGCTTTGGAATTGCAGCTCGTCCAGAAATACCCTGCTTGTGGAGTTCCCTTCATACTCTTTTGGTGCTGACAGGGTTTGTGAGTGTGACATTCAGTTCAGCAGTCACTTTTGCAGCTGTAGTCTTCTTATTTTTTGTCACAATCCTACGCAATGTTCGTCTGTCTTGATCACTCAACACACATTTCCATCCATGCTGGTGTTTATCGGATACGGTTTTTTTCAGTCCTCCTGTATGCGGTCATAATCTTGGATACTGTGCCTCACGAAACACCAAAAACCTCGGCTACCTTGATTACGGAAGCACCCACCATATGGGCCCCAACAATTTGACCATGTTCGAATTCTGTTAGCTCTGACGTGATGCACAAAAAATTGCACAGAACACTCTCTCGACAACAAATGAAGCTTGTAACATATTGCGGAGGTTGTACAGGTAGTGGTGTTGGGCAGATATGACAACATGACCTACAGACGTCGCTAAAATAAACACTTCAATTCAGGCATGCATTTCACGAGGTGTTTCCACATTTTTGTCCATCCCCTGTATATAACCAGGCCTCATGCAGACAGCACAAGTTGTCAAGACAACATGCATAGGCCATGGAAAAACCACTGTCATATTCACACCTTGCCATTCCGCACACACTGGCCAGCCATATGATCAATACAGTTTCATTATAACATATTAAAATTCATAACAAGCACAGATGTCATACATACTATCACACTTACAACAATCAAGTCTCAACAACATATGTATAATACAAGCACACAGACCATTTATTAACTCTTAACTTTTGAGCCCCTTGCATGCTTGACAAATTCATCAGTAGAGTAAAATGAGTTACTTTGCAGATAATATCGTAAAACAAACCTAAATTGATTTTCATCATTTTTTAAAACAGATATTTGATGGCAGATGCTTGATGCCTGAATAATACACCCTTCTCTGATAGGATGATAAATGTGTTGTAGGTATGTGAAGGTGGTCATTGCTCTGGTACCAATCACATATACAGTATTATTGGTTTGAAACTTATCCAAATTATCAACAGCAAATATCATCAGTGAGAGCAAATATACACATGGGATTGGTAATATGCCAAGCTTTTTAAATAGATCTATACATGTATGAGTTGGGCCCACTCCCATCTTTATTCTTATTATTTTCTTTTGTATAACAAAGACCTTATGACTGTCTGATGTATTTTCCCAATATATTATTCTATATTTCACCAATGAATGATAATATGCATAATATACAGCTTTAAGACTATTTATATTTAATATATAAGATAATTTATGCATTGGAAAACCAACTGTGCTCAACTTATGAAGCAACAAATCTATATGTCCCTTACAAGTCAGATGATTATCCAGCTGCAAACTGAGAAATTTTATCGTTTCTACTTCTTTCAGCATTCTGTTAAAAAACATTGTATATAGAGGGTAGCTCGTAGCTGCTGTTGGGGTGAATTTTATCATTTTTGTTTTATCCAGATTTAACACAAATTGATTATTTTGAAACCATGTAAACATTTGATTAAAAACAGCATCCAATTTTATTTTTAAATTATAGTAGTCTTTAGCTGTGCAAAGAATACTAGTGTCTTCTGCAAACATAATAACTTCAGAAATTCTACTTATTTCAAAGGGGAAATCATTTATGTACATATTAAAGAGTCAGGGTCCCAACACCGATCCCTGAGGCACACCACATCCAACAATTTCCCAGTTAGAATAATATTTATTATTTATATAATTTAATTCCACCCTTTGCATCCTATATTGGTGATAAGATTTGAACCATTGCAATAATACACCCTGCACTCCATAGTACTGTAGTTTCAGTAACAGAGGTTTGNAAACATTGTATATAGAGGGTAGCTCGTAGCTGCTGTTGGGGTGAATTTTATCATTTTTGTTTTATCCAGATTTAACACAAATTGATTATTTTGAAACCATGTAAACATTTGATTAAAAACAGCATCCAATTTTATTTTTAAATTATAGTAGTCTTTAGCTGTGCAAAGAATACTAGTGTCTTCTGCAAACATAATAACTTCAGAAATTCTACTTATTTCAAAGGGGAAATCATTTATGTACATATTAAAGAGTCAGGGTCC